GATTGGTCGCAATGGAGGGGCAGATAACATTGAGACAGATCAGTCCGCCGTGAAAATCGGATGCACCATCCCTGATATCCCTCCGGGGAAATGGAAAATCCAGTTATAACACCGAGTATCGTCGTGTACTTTTCAGCTACGGTTAGTTATGAATAATACTCGTCACTCTGGCGTTATGGCTCTCACTCAATTTGAATATATACGTCACTGCATGCTGACGCTGTTGTTGAATACGCGAAGCTTTAACATCGCATCTCCATATTTCGGGAGCTTAATTAAAATCGTAAAAAAACAATACTGGCAAGTATAGTAACAGTGATCAGTTCGCTCTCGTTAAAATTAAGCTGCCAGAAAATGTTACATTTTACGAGAATATCAAAGAGAAGAGAGAAATATATATATATATATATATATAAACAATTTAATATTTCAGATTGTAAATTATAATAAACTCTGCACGTGAGATTACGTTACATCGGTGAAACAGGTTTAAAATCTTTTTCGCCCGCATTTCAGCTATATGGATTTCGTAAACAAATCATTTTCGTCCCTTATGACATTCTTGCTTGTCATTCAGCATTTTCACGAGTAGCCACATGGCCGAAACTAACCGCGTTACCTACCTTTATTTGATGTTTGCAGGCGAAACTTTGTTCATCGCCTCATTTACACGGTAACCAAGGGTACTCTGCCTTTAGTCTTTTTCATCTTTCTCTATCTCTTTCTGTCCCATGGTCTCCCCGCCTTTTCCTTTTATGCTTTTGTCTCCTTTATTTAATAGTTTCTATCCTGCGCACTCTCATCTTCGTCTCTGAGGGAAATATTAGCCGCGGGCGCAGGAGCATTAAAGGGGAACAGTTAAATTAATAATTTCAAAATTTGCAGAGATAGAGAGGGAGAGAGAGGTTGCCACTCGTGGCTTGTGTTTCTTTATACAATTATAGTTTTGTAGCCGGCAAGGCCGCGAGCAAATGAACATTTGAATCACCGACTTTGTGAAAAGTCGATTTGCCTGGTGAATATATTCAATTGAATCAGCTGATAGTTTCATACGAATAGATATTATCACAATCTTGTCACATAATTAAGAATATATAGAATTGAATTAAATGCAACATATTTAAATTCAAAATATACTCTACAATTATTATTATTTGCATTTATTAAGTAAAGGAGAAGGGAGGTTTATATGGAGAAATTAATAACGTTACATTTTATATTTTATAAAATTTTTAATAAAATATATATCTCTACATCTACACGCACATTTTTTGTAAAATATTATATTGAAATTGAATTTATTATATAATATTAAAATTATATTCTAAGATAATATCTATTTTCACCGTTTTCAAAAATTTTAAATTTAAATCAAAATTTTATTCAAAATTTAATCAAAAATTTATTTCTATCAAGAGAAATATTATTTGCATTAAAATAATGTATTTGTAACACTTTTCCAAAAATACGTATTCAATCATCAATATAAATTATTACCGTCGTAACACTTCAGACTTGATGTAATTTTTTCATTAACATGATTCCGCGTAAAATATACATGTTAGCTCGATTAACCTTCGATTGCTGTAATTTTCACGCGTCGATCTAATGAGAAACGAGGTTATTTCGGACACTTCGTAACAGGGCACCGGTTGCACCGGGATAATCTCAGCGGCAACCGTAATTATGGGGCCCCATTTCGAAACGGGCCCCGCTCGTACACGGTGAGGCCCGACGACGACGGAGCTTGTTATTGGCAGCGTAAACAACATGATTATCTTCTTCCGCGGTGTGGAACCTGCCAAAAAAAGATTCTATTAATATTTATGACGATACATGCGTGCGATTCGTTTCGACACCCTACGGAGAGGCTAGACTTGCCAAATTATACGACGGAATGAGTTATAGGTATGCGGTTGCAACGTGCAAGCGTTTTCTACGCTTTCATTATCATCGGAACATATCTGCTACACTCGTAAATGAGTGATGAAGACGAATGAGAAGTGCATTGATCAATTTTGCGAATGTCGCATGTCTCATATCCGCAAAAACCATTTGTTGAACAAATCAGTTCATATTAGAAATATTAGTTCGATATTTGGAGATAGCTCGAGATATAAAATAATTGATGGTTCTATAAGACAAGACAAGTATCATATTATTTTGATTACTAATTAATTGAATAATTTTGACCAATAAAAAAATATATGATTGTCAAAATGTAATAACATCGTATTGCGATATAAAAATTTATTTATTTATTTATGCGACAGAAAGAATTTTCGATATACAATTTTAATATTGTGCGTAATATTATTCTATAATAATTAATGAAAGCAAAATCGAAGTGTGGTACGTCCAGTGCAAGGATTTCACGCGAATATATGTGGGTATAAAATTTATTTGGCATGAATGTGCAAACCGCATCATACGATTTCCCGCGGGTCCAACAGCGTTTCTCTTTAATGATATTTAATAATGCCACACGTCATCCAGCATCATCGCAAAAATAATGGCATCTTCGCATCGGGGTCAACGGCGTATCGTGCGTTCATTCAGAACATTCTATCACGAGTAACGAGTATTTTTTATGGCTTTGAGAAATCGTACATATAACCGATTCGATATGCGACGACGATATTTTATTTCGAGGTGTCGTACAATATTTTTTATATCTGTCATTGGATTTATACGATAAGCAGAATCCAATAATCTATCGAGATGGATAGCCCAAAACTCACTGTTATTGATACGATGGCACGTTGTATTTGTTTGAATATTTATCTGTTATAAATTTTAAAACAGCGATGTTTACGCAGCAGCTATATTTATCTCTGATACATGTATATCTACATACTGTTATATGCAAACATAAAGCCTCGGATTTATTTCTGTAGATAAATACATTGGGGATGAATTAAACAAAATCTGTTTTTCCAAATAATTAGATCGTTACTAAATTATTATACACAGTATTCGCGCGCTGGATATATCTCCGACAGCCAAGAATGAAGTGTAAATAGTGTGGAAAATCGAGTTTATCATTTTGCAAGGTAATAGCTTGAACTAAGCGCTAGACAAATTGAAGAATGGGCAAATTAATTACGTCATACTTTATTAGGATTTATTGCGGACACTGTCGCCACATTTTCGCGTTACGGGCGCAAAGTTCCGTAAAAATGGAGGGACATTAAAGTCCCTTTAGCGATGAATTCCGAGTTAACATTCTTGGAATGGTCGCTCTAACGAGCACTATGATAATAAAAGTGAAAGGTCTCCGCGAGTCAGTCTCAGTCTTGTCACGTGGATTTTCTTTTCGAGGAAGGGGTTGAAGAAATTGGCAAGAAGGAAGAAAGGAAGAGGAGAAAACGGAAAGAAAGAGAGAGAGAAAGAGAGAAAGAGAAAGAGAGATAGTGGCAACATGATATTCCGGGCGTTTTCTCAACATGTTAATTGTATATTTGAGGTGAGGCGATAAACAAGGCCTCGTCGGTAGCTCGTTGCTCTTGCCGTGGAGAGAGACTTCATTACCAGCTGTAATATATAACTGCAGCCCCGCAGGGGCATTCCCGATTCGCAGAGCGTGTTACGAAGTGCCGAGTACGTACCGGGTGACCCGTGAAACCATATTAGATCGATCGCCAAACGTGATCATCGTACCTGCGAAAGTCGCGATCGATAATTTTCTCGGCTCGTTCTCTTCTGTTAACTCGCGCGACCATCTGGGCCTCAGATCGAACATTTCTCTCGTTATCACGACGAACACGAGATAGGTGACGTTACTTTAACTTTGCGAGCCGACTTTCGCGAAGTCGCCGCGGCTAATCGTGTCCGGGCATCTCGGTTGTTCATCGTGCCTCGCAGCGTTCTGAATAGGGGCTCGCACGGAAAGAAAGCGAGATCGTATGTGATCTTGGATACATCGGTTTTGAAAGTGGTCCCGCGTATATACAGGGTGTCCCAGGTCCTAGGCTCTCCACGACTTCATCTACGAACTCACTCAATCAATTTGAACAATTTTCTCTCATGTCAGAGTAGCAATATTTAAATGATGTAAATAAATAAAAATCTAGAATTTTATATAAAACAAGGCATAAATATGAAAAAGTTAGTAACGATATCTTAATCTTTTCCGCATATTTAAGATAAACTTTACTTTTATAGATTTTTAATTCAAGAGAGAAACTTGCAAAAATGTTTAATGTTAAGAATGATAATGCTATATTAAATTTTCTTAGGAAAATTACATTTCAATTTCATAAAAAAAAATATAAAGTCATAGCGCTCAAATTTTGGAATATCTCAAATTTAGAAAAAGAGATATATACAATATATGTATCCAAACTTAATTATTAAAAAAAATTATTAATTTTCCAAAATTCAAAAAATTTATACATAAGTATTCCTAGGACAGACTGTATACATGTGTACTGATCAGCTTTCAGGTCTTGAGGTGCGAACCGGTTTTCTCGGCTTGATTTTTGACACGAGCTCCGAGCCTTCTTCAACCCTCTCAGTTTATTCTGACGGGGTTCTTGTGCATCATTTTTGTCTTTCCTTGTCGCTCTTCGTTGGAGCGAGCAAGGCTTTATTCAGGACACGATGTGGTGGATAGCGGCGGCACGCCCTCCCGGTGTCAGATTTTATTTATCTCACGGCGGCTTTTTGTTTCGCGCTAAATACTCCGGCGTTTAAGAAGACGGGCCTCCCCGATTTATGGCCGCCGTTGCTGCCTCTGAGTTCAGCTTCTTGCCCTTCTTCGTCTTTCTCGAAGCCGCTCGTCGAGCGATTCACGTAAATTCTTTGGGAATGCTTGTCTCGTGGTTTATCCGTCGCCTCGGCATCTCGCCGAGAAATATGTCGCAATCGTTAACCGCACATATTTTTAAAAAATAATGTTGGAATTACACTATAATATAATAAAAATTAAAAGAGGGAAGACATAAGATAACAATCTCAAAGTTTTTATTCTAATAACGTTTCTTTCCATTCTGTTCCAGATAAACATGGAAGCGGTGACATCGACCGATTACGATTCCACGAATCTTAGCAGAAATTTTAATCAAGTCGGCTTCAACACATACAATTACTCACAGTTCGAGGAGAAGTACAAACCGCGACAGTTCTTCAAGTACGGCGATGAGTATCTCGAGTACGGGCACAAACTCGGTGCCAATGAAAGATACCCGCGGTCCAAGTATCAGGACGGTTCGAGGCTCGATCAAAGATACTCACGCAGTCAATCTCAGCCGGAACGGCAACACCATCTGTGCCAGGAGATACGCTCCAAGTCCCAGGATTCACGCGAGCTCACATTCTACCAAATAAATCCGCCTGTGAAAACGGAGAATCCACGGCAACACGACAAGTCGCATCAAAAGCTGAAGAAAGAACTGACATTCTACGAGATCGACGGACCGCCATCCTGCCAGGAGAAGAGGGAAAAGTCTGAGATATGCAAGGAGCGTGCCGACAAAGGGACCAAGTCTCACGACAAATCTTACGCTGGTGGTCAGGAGAGGTCGCAAGCCGCGAAGCACGGCAAACAGAGTCACCAGGAGCAGCAAAAAACATTGGCGAACGTGTCGGATCACTTGCAGCTGAACCGGTCGCAGTCGGATCTCACGGAGTGCCAGCTGCCGAATTATTGCGGCTATCGAAATAATCCATACATCGATCCGCCCAAGTATCGACAGTTTGACAGGCCGCCGCGCTATCAAGAGGCCCCGTCGAGAGTAGTGGAACCGCCACCCAAATATCATGCCGATCCGCCTAAGTACATCGAGGTGTCTAGACGACAGGACGACTTTAAGAAGATCCAGGTAAGCCATAAGATATAAAAAAAGTCTCGTTTGTGTCGTACCTCTGAAAGTTGATGTGCGGGGGTTATTCCGAGACGTTATAGATCAACGTTATAATCATTAGAGGCTATCCGATAATTATATCGCAGAATTTTACGCGATATTTTTAATGTAGAATTATTTAAAAAATTAATTTTTGGAAATAAATGTGATGTAAAAAGAATATATATATACATATATATGTGTGTGCGTATAAAAATAGTGATTTATTCCGAAATTTCACGTCATTTTATATATATAACTGATTAAGAAGAAACTCTCGTCCGCTCTTGATCGCGCTCTACCATTATTGCTCCGTTTTCTCAGCAGCTCACGTGGCGGCGGCTTGATATATACCCGGCGCATTAACGGTAGAATGTGCATGAATCGTAGTACTACACGCCGACTATAGTACGTCGCATTATCATTCGACAGGAGGAGAGGGGCAGACGACAAGGTGGTGGTGGCGGCGGGGGTGGCAGCATCAGTAGCGGTGGCAGTGGCGGTAATTCCAGTGGGGGAAGAGGGAACACCAGCACTCATGGCGCCGAGACGCCCTCTAATCTGGCCAGTATCACGCCGACCGCGCGAGAAGCAACACGTGCCCCGATCGCGCGACAACGAATCTTCCACAAAGCGTGCGACGTGCGCAATAACAGTAGCAATAACAACAATAACAATAGCAAGGAGAACTTGCTACAGGAGACTGGCGATGATTGCGAAGCAACGTTATCCTCGCGTTGTTACATCGAACCGTTGAAAAATCATCACCACCATCATCATCATCATCAGCAGCAGCAACAGACCCGCGGGATCAACGGTAGCAACATCGCTAGCGGTGTCATCGTCGGTAATGTTTTCGCGGACGGTGGCTGCGACGGTTCGTGCGGCGAGGTAACAACGTGTGACAAGTACAAGGGTACCGGGTCGGAGTCGAATCGGAACAGTAGCGGCGACGCGATTCAAGGTCGTCCGAGCGAGAGATCCATGCTGAAGATCGAGAAGCTGTCGGGGAAGGTCGCTCTCCACAGCGGCAACGGCGAGACTGCGGCAGTCGGCAAGTGTAGCGCGGAAAGGATGAAGCCGGCCTCGCAGGAGGCCGGCTACAACAAGCACGAGGTCAGCAAAGCCAAGAGCCACGATGTCGGGCATGGTTACAAGGTCGAGAACCTGCGTTATTACGGCGAGCTAAAGGGTTACGCCGACTTTAAGGTTTACGGTGCCGTCGACAAGCAGCCGGCGTCCGCGCTAGTATCCGCGCACGAGAAATCGCATCTTCTCCACCCACCCTCCTCGTGCGAAAAGGGTGACAAGTGTCACGGCAAAATGCTGGCCTCGTCCGCGCAAGGTTACGGTCTGGGTAAGATCGCTCAGCAACAGTCGGAGAAAAGTCACCACAGCGGGGATCACTACTACCATAGATCATCGCATTCGAAACCGTCGAGCGCATATCAGGTGTACCAGGAGACCAAGTACTCATACAACGTGAGCGGAGTGCCCGGGACGCCGGCGCAGGCCAGCGCAGCCGCAGCGTTCTTCGCAAGGTCAGTGCTCACTCAATTTAGCAAATATGATAGCGTGTCGCAATATGCTGATGCGAGCTTTTCAATTACCGCGATGCTTTAACTTTTCCGGAGCATCGATCTTTTTTTATTCTATGAAAAAAAGGGAGATTTAAAAAGAAAAATCACACGAAGAATTACAAATTACATTTTCACAAATATTTATTTTTCTCAGCTTTACGATTCTAGGCGTTTCGACAATTTCATAAAAAGCTCGGGAATTAAATAATTTGTATTATTCGCATTAGTAATTTTTTAATTTTCAGCATTTCAATTTTCTTGACTTTTTGACGATTCAACTGTAAATTATATTTAATGTAATTCAACTAAATTTTAATTTATTGCATTGTTCTTTTTCTTTAGATCTTTCAAATGTTGACGATCATACTTTTAAAACACAGAAATGAAACGAATGATATCGCGGAAACATCCATTTTTAATATTGTATATTTAAAAATTATTCGGAACGAAAGTTTGAAAATTTAATTGAACGTTGTCTGATCAATTCTAATTTTTTTTTTAATACTTTGAATTTTTTTCGAGACATCAACGTCACAGAATATATCAATGAATGATGGTTAATAAATAAGAACAAAAAAATTTTATTTAAACAGTTTGAATACTGTGAAAGTTTATTACGGCTATTACACGATTTTTATTTGTTCGGAGAAATTTATACTCTTTTATGTCGCGTGCGAAGCAACCAATTTACAAGATCGTAACCGCGTGTACAGATCTCGTATTCCGTTAGCGCGTATCTACGCGACTAAATGTAAAAAGTCGAGTGCCAGACATTTTTCATCGTTATCAAGCAGGCCTGCTTCTTGGAGCGTGAATGCAATCGTAGCAACGCTTGCAAAAGCATTATTTATTACGCGAATCGATAGCTTGTTTGCTTCATTCGATATTCGATATCTGCAAACTCTAAATTATTTTAGTCAACTATCTTTAAATTTAACTGCAACTGATAAAAATTGCAACGCGTTGCTAAGTAACTAGAGAAATCTAACAAAACACTTTCCCCGTGAAAAGCTTATATATTTTGCTCCACATCAAACAATATAATCCTATTATCTCTCATGTTTCTTACTCATTTCGCGCACCGGTTTTCCATGTTTTAACGGAGGTAATCACACGATTATGCGAACGCAGTTAGCTGTAGAATAACACTCAGCTTTAAACCCTCCCGGGTCGTTTCTTCGTCCCGCGACTAAATGGAAAGTGCGAAAGCCCAATTTTCCCGACCCCCCGTTGGTCTTATAAGGCGTATTTTGCATCACGTTAACCATTATCACGAAACATGTGTACGCGACCATCCTTCCTAGTTAGGTCGGTCTTAAGCTTTGATCTCGGCTCGCATATTTTCGACGTTCTCGTATGAAAACACACGCAGCTTACGTGCGAGAGCGCTTGCACGAGCGAGCGTAAATCGCATGCGGTTTTATGCGCGAGGAGAAAGCTCTTGTTCTCTCTCTTTGTCTCTCTCTTTATCTTTATCTATCTGAAGGTTCCGCAGCCGCAGCCGTCTTTTCCCCTTAACCTTAGGCACGACCTCAGCCCTTTAATAACCTTGCTCATAGCTCGTGGATATTGTAAAGCACAATGGCATTCTTGGGGTCCGCCTGCTCGTACTTCTGTCTCCATCTTGTCTTCTCTTTTTCTCTCTCTTTC